ACGCGCATGTTTGCGTCGCGGCTCCGGCCGATGCTGCCGAGCTTCGTGCACCCGCTGCAGACCGGTTTCGTGCCGCGCCGCGAGATGGGGACCGTCGTCGACATCTTCACGGCCGCAAATATCAGCGCCAGAGACGACCCTGAGCTACGACACGCGCTCGTGCTGCTCCTGGACTTCTCGAAGGCGTACGACTCGCTGGCGCGGGACTTCTTGCTTGCCACGCTGCGGCGGCTCGGGGTTCCAGACGCTTTTGTGCTTATCATCAAAGCTCTTCAAAACCGCACGAGAAGCAGGTTCATCGTGAACGGCTACCTGTCGCAGCCGCTCGAGGTAACGTGTGGGATCCGGCAAGGATGCCCGCTGGTACCACTGCTGATAATCTTGGCAGCGGAGCCGCTCTACGAGATCCTCGAGAGCACGCGACACGGAGTTCGGCTCGCGAACATGTCCGCGGCGATGACGGTCAACGTCTGCGGGTATGCCGACGACACTGTTGTGTACGTCAAGTCCCCAGAGAACGTGGCTGAGGTCATGTAGGCTCTAAAGCGGTTCGAAGCGAATGGTCCAGCACGAATCATGGACGACATCCTACTCGCCGAGCACGCGGGCGTGGACGTGTACTTGACTCCGGCACGACGAGACGCGCCGGTTGGGGACTTCAAGATGGCGGACACTATGTGGAAGAGTGGGGCGGCAGTGGTGTGCGGAGTGCACCGCGACCAGATCGACCCGACGAATGCCAGCTTCGTGGCAGCAACGGCGGCGCTGTTTCGGCGATACCTGCTTACTGCGAAATGGGATGGCAACAGCTTGCAGATCGCCGTCGACGACGACGCGATGCTCTCGTTCGCGCGGCTGTCGTGTGGGAGGCGACGGTTGCGCGGACCTTTCTGTCACGAGTGGCTTAACCGTGTGACACTCGACACGCGGCGATGGCTGATCGCTGGCAGGGGGGAGCCTGTGAATATCAGCTTGCTACGGCATGGCGACAAATGGGGCATGCTTCGTGGCCTCCTCAGCTGGACGTGGATGGAGCGCGGTGTGGTCAATTTCGAGCTGAGGCGGGTAGACCAAGAGTGTCGCGCGAAAAATATGATCTTGGGAATGACGATCGCCACTGCCAGCGCATCACGGCTTCGGACCGTGTTTGCCTTCCGACGAGCCAGCGCGAGCCGCGCGTTCAAGGAGGTGTAGCACGCGTCCCAGTTGTCCTTGACCGTACTCCCCTATCCGACGAGCACGCCCAGGTACCTGCATCGCAATCCTTGAGATCGCGACCGCAATGCAGCAGCTGGTCAAGCGCTTTGTCTGGGGCTCGCGTGAAGGTGTACCATCGAGGGCGTGGATGAGCGACGCTCAAGCTGGGCTTTCGGTGTGCGACGGTGAACTCGCTGTACCGCACGTCGCGACGGACCTGCTTGCGATGGCAGCCAACGCAGTAGGCAGGTGGGCAGCAAGAGCGGCTTCTGGCTTGAAGATTAACGCGGCAAAGTCCGTGGCAGTTCCTCTTCACGATGGTGCAGTCATCGACCCAATTCTATTGCACGGTGTCCGGCTGCTGCGACCTGAAGGTGTCTTGATGCGAGGTTAATTTGCGGCTGCTAATCGTAGAGAAAATAGCAAAAACCAATAAACCGCCACGGCTAACAAACGCCCCGATATCTCCTGGAGATGGTCACTTCTGCCATTGAGAACTCGACATGAGGATAATTTATCGCAAGAAAGAGCTTTTGGGGCACGTACCGGCCGCAAAGGGTGAGATCAGGATAATGGAGGCGTGACTGATGGATGACACTGAGGCATTTAACATTGTTGCCCCGGGCGTCGGAATATAACATCCGACCGAGACCTGGTCAGCAACTCGTGCTTTGGAAGCGTGCAAACGGCACCCCATTTTTCACAATCGTTTCAATCTGCACAACCGTTTCGTGATGACTCGTCGACTCCATGAGTTTCAAACAGAGTGGCACTGGCATGGTGAATTATCTAGACGCGTTTAACAAATTGATCGTGGTACTCGAGATGACGAGAGAGTCAGTGGATGAGCCAATACATTGGTGGTACATCTGAGCGGCTTGCCATCGAAGTATGAGCTGCCAATAATTTCACGCTGATGGAGGTCAACCTGTTGAGCAAAGGAAGGAACTGCTGCTAAAAAATCTCGCGCTACAGAAACAACGGGCGGTCCAAGTCCAGACGGGAAAGTCGTCTCAAGAGCTACGCGCCGGAAATGGACGGCGGCTCTAAGTGAAGTTCTTGAACTGTGAACAGATGTGCCACATGATTAGGGATAGCCCGGCTGGAACACATATAAGAGACCATTTTAGCGGAAGCGATGCAGTATTTGCTGTGGTCGAGGATCGATCAGCTGGTCGGCTAGCTGACAGCGGCACGATGTCGCACATGGCCCCTCACCGGAGTGACTTGGTCGATTACAACAGCTGAAAATAGCAGTGAGGTAACGATTACAGATGGCAGAAACCAAGCGTTGGAACATTGGCTAAATAGAAGAAGACCTATATTCATGATGGAGGTGCTGGTTATCCCCTGTTATGACAGACGTTTACTGACAATGCGAAAATTTGCCGAATGTTGGCTAGTTGTGGGATTTCAGCGTGTTCCCGTATCATTTGGGACATCAACTGGGGTATCGCAACTAGGACAAGGATCTGTTAAGTTGGACTGCCAGCGAAAAGAGGCACGATCGGTGCAATGCTCATGAGCCAAAAGTCAGTGTTAGCTATGGCACTATCGCATGGGTCTTTCAGGAGAAGAATTTTTTAGGAAAAAGGTTGCATTCCAGAAACGGTGTGTCTGTGATGAAACAGAACATAATTTCTTGTGTTGTGGCTGAAGGGAGGGCAAGTAAGCATTTTAAGCATTCCCAAGTTGCTCTGTAACGATGACCCATCGCGTATTGTAGCTAATGCGCATGGACGTGATGGGTCCCATAAAACGCTTTTGAGGAAAGACGGTCAGTACATTTTAACGTTTGTAAATACTTTCTCGCTATTCTAGGTAGTACATTTAACGGCGAAGAAGAGTAAAGTTCCCGATAAGATCAAGATTAAAAAAACTGTACAAAATACAATGGTGCGCCCGCATCAAGTGCCTGCGTTCAAATAACGGAACAGACTTTGTAAACAAGACGACTAAAGACTTACCTCAGCGAAACGACATCAAGCACGAACGTACGGTACTATATAAAGTCCTCAACAGAACGAAATAGAGGAGCGAACGAACCGCACGACCATGAAAAAGGCACGGAGCATGCTACACTACAAGTATTTACCGACCTGTTAGCGCGAATAGTCTGTCAGCACTCCAGTGCACCTGATCATGCGTCCAACTGACACGGTAATTCCGATTATAACTCGGTACGAGTTGGGATCTAAGGTGAAGTCTAGGATGGATTCTCCCGGGGATTTTGGGTCTCACACGTTCACACACGTTGATCGTGTGAAGAGGACGAAGTTCGAAACTAAGAGGTTCCAAGTGCATGTTTATTCAGATACCAAAGACACCAATGAATGTTCTTACGATTTTGCTAACAATACGGTATCTGTATCAACTTACACGTTTACAATGTCACTTGTGAAATAGCAAATTCAAATTCGATTTGAGGATTTACTCATGAGTAGATTTCTCTTGTACCAAAGATTCGTTTCGTTTTGTACTTCTTTGAAATGCGGGACTGAAACAATAAGACATATCATTGAAAAAGCATGTTATTCCTGATTGATTCTTTTATTTCGAGGGAGTTGACGGTTGTGTAATAATCCTTCCAAGGAAAAGGTAAGGTTAGATGTGTAGAGGTGAAGGTCTGTTGACCATGTGAGGCCAAAAAAAAACATTTTGATCTCGGCGGTATTAGAGAATGGCTAAGGCTGATTCTTTCAAGAGCTTCATATGGTCAGAAATTCTATCCTCCAGTCTAAGAGTACTCCAAGATTCAAGGAATCCCGTTTGTTCGCTCATACAGTCGAACGCATCGGGATTCTCTGCTCACGATCAATCACATTTAGCAGTTGTTTGTGCTAATGTCAATAGAGCCATGTGCCAATGAGACCGACGTTCGATCGCGGTAATACAAAAAAAACGAAAAATTGTAATTTAGTGAACTTAGAGCGTGGGATTAGTGTAAGGGGGTACACATACCCTGGTAACATGGGGGGTGTTACACCAGATGGGCATGGTGAGACCAAACCCAAACAAGAATACGGTACGGGGCTGGATAGCCAGTAGTAATACTAGATATTACTATAAAAGTTCATAAAAATTTATGCATTTGAAATTAGGCGGCTTTGCCGCAGATAAAAATGTATTAATTAAGTTTCAATAAACCGAAGAGGTAATTAGCCTTGGGTTAAGGCTATAACTACTCTTGGAGTAAGCGGATTGCAATCCGCAAATATCGTACTTGTTCTGAGTATAGAACAAGAGGTCGGTGACCAAACTTACGCTTCCTCAAAGCGCAGAGCTACGGCAGCCCCGCTGCACTTGGTAGTACTTGTAGTCAATCTACAGCTGAGTCCTTTAGACCGATCCTCTGTGAGGATGGAGGAATTTTCCTCTTTGCCCCAGGGCATGCAGAACGGGCTTAAAAAACTGGTGTCCTTGCTTGGCCATGAGGGCGTACAACACCTTGTGACACAAGGCCCCGACGCAATCGGTGCGCGTTTTCACATTACGAAAACGCGCTGCAAGAGCACCTGCAGCAGAAGATGTCTGCTTCATTTGCATCCATGACGCCATCGCCAGTAACGGATGAATTCCCTCGCCCTAAGCTGCTCATGGTGAGCGTTAAGGTCTTCGAGGGGGGAGGAGAATCTCCTGCTTTGGGTGAGAGAGTTCGAGATGGCCATCGCATCCGCCATGCTACAGACCGAGCAACAGCCCGTGGCGCTAGCCATCTCAAAGCTCGGTGGTCGAGCGCGAGAATGAGCACTGACGTGCGGCACTTCGGTCGAAGCTGCGTTTCCTTCCTGGGCGGAGCTAATATGGCAGCTCCAACGAGTGTTCTCGCCGCCTAATCAGGCAAATCGCGTGCGATCGTCTTTCCTTGCCGCCGACAGGGCAACAAGGAATAGGTGGACTTTGTCCAAGAGATGCGCACTCTCATTGCCGGGACGGCAGCAGATCCCCTCCGGAGGCGGTCACAGCGACCTTCTTTATGGAAGGCCTCCGAATGGCGTGGTCAGAATGGAAGTCTTCCGTATGCATCCGTCTTCATTTGAAGAAGCAGTGC